TTCTTAAAAAAATAATATTAAAAAGTAAAGAAACATAATATTTTGAAACATATTTTTTTGAAACATATAATGTTCAAATATTAAATAAAAAAAACAAATTTTTAAACTTTTTAAAATAAATTAAATGAACGTTAGAAAACATTAAAATAAATGAACGTAGAATATACATTCTACGTTCATTCATCTCTGAATTAAAAAAATAATAACAAAAATATTTGTTAACGAAATAAATGTATAAAATAAAATTCAAAACATTCTTAAAATCTTAAAACATTCTTTAAATCATAAAATAATAAAAAAATATTTTTAACGAAATAAATACTTAAAATTAAACATTAATATAACATTTTTGGTTAGCTGTTTTTTAATAATAAAAGAAAAATGTGTATATTTGATGATAGGTTTTCTCTATTTATTTTTGTTGGGAAAATCATTTAGCCATAACAATTTTAATTATTAGCCTTTAATACTTATTATTAATTACACATAAAGAATATAAAAAAAACATTTCTTCTTTACTCGAAATATCGCTGCGAATGGAAGTTGAGTATTGATAGTTCGCATCTACACGCATCCTCCCATTCCTACCAACTTATATCGTTCGTACCTGTACTAGTTACATTTATTACTATTTATTATTAATCTACACATCCCCCCCTACGAACGATATAATTTAAGTGTTTTTAGCTACAGCTTCTATATCTAATAATCCTATCGTATTTAGTGATAATAATTTTTCTCTAGTTATTGCTTTAGTAAGAAAATTTGCAATCATATGTTTAGTATCTATATAACGAGTACATATTTTTCCGTTTTTGATTTCATCACGTATAAAATGGAATCTTAAATTTACATGCCTACACATTTTTCTTACTTGACGATCGATTTATTGTCCCATTGCATCCATTCAATCACAGCTTTGTTATCACAATATAAAATCGTAGTTTTACAACAAAACATTTCTAGATTCGTTTAATATGTTTACTATCCAATTAATATCTTTTACGATTTCGGAGCATGCAAAAAGTTCTACTACTATATTGAAAGGCCAATGCTTCTTTGTTTATTGTTACGCCACATTATAGCTGAGTCGCCTAACATTAATTGCCCTTCCTGTGAAGGATTTTCTTTCTTCCACGGTTCTCCAACTTGCGTCTGCGTATGCTTCCTCAATATTCCACCTTTATCGCTGTAAACTAAGATTTTGTTCTTTATCCCATTTAAATATCTTAACATCCTTTTTGCCAGCAATAAATGTCGCTTTTCCGGTCTTTGATTGTATTCGGATAAAGAACAAACTTCTATGAACTTCTATATAAGAAGTCACGAACAGATGTCTGGTCTAGTCCAGTTCGCGATATATAATAATTCACCAATGTGTAAGTACGCGGTCTTGACATCGAAAAATCGAAAATGCCAGTGTAATTTGACAACTATGGCCATCAATAGTCTCCAATAGATACGACTGGTGCGTAAGACTCCTTATAATCTTTATGTTTTATTTGGTTATAACCTGCTGCAACTAATCGTGCCTTGTATTTAATATTTTTATCTCCTTTGTTGTTTTTTATCGTGAATACCCATTTACTTTTAGTAATTTTTATATTATCCGGTTTACTGACAATATCCCATACTGAATACTTTTCGATTGATTGTATAATAATTCTTCTTTCATAGCCTTTTCCCATTTGGGCCAATTTACACTTTTGCCTCTACATAATCTCTGGTATTTTGCTGGTATTTTCTATTAATTTAATTTCTTTTTCTTTTTCTTTGATTCTTTGTGACCTGCAAACATTATTCTATTCATCTTGATTTAATTCTTGTATCCGACGTAGATTGTCTCTAAATTCCATTTGTTCTCTCGTTGTTCCCAGAGGTCTACTTGGTCGTCGTGATAATTCGGGGTTTTCGTTGCCTAATCTGTTATAGTTATTTGATTCTTCTAGTTGTTCATGACAGTCATTATGTTCATCTATATCCTCGTCCATCACTAGCTTCGATATCACTATTCCCCTTTTCATATGTATCAAGATAAGGATTATATTATTATATTCGTAATAATATATGTTTTCATGATTTATATAATTATTATTATTAATTTCCAATCTATCTCTTTTTCATAAAAATTAACAGATCTCTCTTCCACTACCTGTCTATCTATTGGGTCATAAATTCGATATCCGCGTCTCTCACGCGAGTACCCTAACATTATCCCTACTTTACCTGCTAGTTCCAACTTATTTCGTTTCTCTTTCGGAGTGTGATAAAATGCAACGCATCCAAAAACTCTTAAGTAACTTACAGTCGGTTTCATCTGGAAAATCAAACGGTGTTTTTACTTTGTTTTTACGAGATGTAATGTTACTGACATGTGTACTACAAGCTGCAGATTCTGCCCAAAAGATGGTGGGTAGACTATTGTTATGCAATAATATTTTTGCGCGTTGTATAATCGTTCTATTCGCCCTTTCTGCCTTACCATTACTCTCGGAGTTGTACGGAATGATCTTTTCATGTATTATACCATTTTCCTCCAAAAACTGATCAAATTCTTTACTAACAAACTCCCGTTATCTGATCTAAATCGCTTTATTCGTGTGTTTAATAAATTCTCATATTTTTATTTGAATACTTTAAAATTTTTAAATATTTCACTTTTGTTTTTCATAAAATAAGTAAAATACATACCGGAGTAATCGTCAACGAGCACTAGCACATACACTGAACCGTTTAACAATGATGGGCATAAAACCGCAGACATCGCTATGAATTAATTCTAATGGTGATTTGCTTTGATCTTTTGTTATAATTTTATGCGGTTTTCTACTTATTTTATCTAAGTTACAACTATCGCAAATAAAATTCTTATCAAGATAAGTTAGATGGATACCGTCTGCTATGTTACCTTCGCACATTTTCTTTAAATATTCGTTATTTATATGCCTTAATCGTTTGTGCCAAATCTCATAATTATCTGTTGTTTTCTCTATATTACGATGATCATTCTGTATTTCCATCAATATACGATTCCGCTAAGAACTTTACATGTTTATCTTGGAGCTTTTCTACTAAAATTTCATTACCTTCCTTGTCGAATACACTGATTGTTTTGTTTTCCTATACTATCGTATAGTCTTTCAACATGAGCGTTGTAAATAACAAATTTTCCCTTAATTTTGGTACATAAAGAATGTCTTTCATTTCAATAACAATATCCTCGTTCGCTTTACTCTTTACTTTGATCTTTACTATATCAACTCCTTCATATTCTAACTTCAAATTTTCTCCAGCCTGTTGGAGTTCACCTTTCTGTAAATTAACATTGTTAAATCATTTCAAATTATTAGCCATATGATTCGATGCTCCGCTATCGAATAACCATGTGTTACATAAATTTTGAATATTCATCGTCGGAATTTCGTACATTAAACGCGTATACCTTATTATTTACTATACTTATAATGCTACTGTCCGCCTTTTTCTTGTCGTTTGGCCTTCGTGTTATTCCGTTGTCCTTTTCTCTTATCTTGTTCCCATCTTTGTATTTGCTTCTCACTCGTTCTATGCCAATATATCTTTGCGAGATGACCCGCTTTGCCACACACGTAATATTGTTTGTTCCTTTTCTTTTGGACGACGTAGGCCCCGCCTTTCGTTTCCTTGTGATGTCCTCCCATTCATAAGATCTCTTTCTCTCGTTCCTTCAGAATTTCTTGAATTTCTTCTAGCGATTTATCACGTTGTGTTTTAAGGATTTCTCTGATATCCTTATACTTATTGTTAATTCCTCGCATTGTATAGTATGCCAATTCACGTGCTGTTACGTCCACGCCGAACGATGCGCATTTTGATCGCGAGCTCGCGTGCACGTGCCATATAATCGCTTATTGTTTCCATTTCTTCTATGTGTAAGAATCTTAAATCATTGCTGGCGTCTATTTTTTGGTCTTCTGCTACTCCTGCGCATTTTTTATTTTCAGACATAATTCTTTTGCATTATTTTCTCTCGCGAACTGCAATGCTTGTTCGTTAGACAAATGTACGCCACTGTTTCTCGATTTCTCATTCCAATTTTATCTTTTCCGCGGCCGTGTTTTGCGATTTTTTTTTCTTCACTTAATGTCTTTTCTAATTTCTTTAGACTAAGTATCGCTTCCATTTTCATGGCCCAAACTAAATAGTTTGTCCCCTTTAATAATGGAACGGATCGTAACGTTCCTTTGTCTATCTTGGATTTTGTGTCGATTCTTTTCCACATGGTACGCCTTAATTATTCTTATTCTTAATTCTTCATCAATCCAATAACCATTCGGACCACAACCACGCTCTGCTACCAGATTGTTAGAAAAATCATTTAACCGTAACAGTTTTAATTATTAGCCTTTAATACTTATTATTAATTACATAAAGAATATAAAAAGAACACTTCTTCTTTACTCGAAATATCGCTAGCGA